TATTTAATTATTTATTAATAACACTTTAACTTTACAAGAAAAAAAAAAACAAGCTAGAATTTGAATTCAAGACTATATGAACTTTAAAAATTACCAAAAGACTAAACAGAGCCCTCATCTACTACAAGAATTTTAAAAACTATTATAAGAATTTTAAAACTATCTAACTAAAATATTAGTTTTCATATTCAGTTTTGCCTTTTAAAAAAATAACTTATTTGCACAGATATATATTTTTATATATACCCATACGAATAAGCTTTTAAAAAAAGCATGGGTTGTTATATGAGACTTATATAATTTAACACATACCGAGATTTAATATATTTTGTATTACCAATGCATTAAATTTTGGGGTTTGATAATAAACTTGATCATTGTTTAAAAGACTTTGAAGAAATTTATCGTATTCATTATTAGAAGCTGATATAAGATAATTTGCACTGAGTCCCGCTTTAATAAGAATTGTGGCAGGGCAGGCAGTTATATGAAGCAATTCAATTAACCGCTATACTTCTGCCCAATATCTTCTTTCATGCTGATTACTAATTCCGAAAAGTTCTTGTATTTTTTTATCTATGAGGCCACGTAGAACTTTATGGCTCGGAAATTTGCTATTTGCTTCTTGGTATTCCATTGCGTAAATTATGGCAAGTGATATATAAGGTCTACGTAATTTAACCAACATATGCAACTTTGCTTCCTCAATAGTATGTTTTGCTGAACCAAGTTTTTTAAATAAAGAAACTTAACTTTTAAAAAAAGTATAAATTGAATCGGTATCTTTATTTAAAAAAACCTGGTAATTCTATTCGTTGATTAATGGTAACTTCCTCATTGTTGAGAAATAGACGTTCAAAATCTTTCATAAAAAAACTTTCAACTGAATTATTTAAAAAAAGTTGATTTTCTGTAATCAACTCTTCTTGAATAGTTTCCAGAAAATTTTCCTTCAAATTCTAAGCTTTATCATCTTGCCCAATACTACTCATATCTAGAAGATTGTTTAACATAATTAAAATTTTAATAAACTTAAATT